GAAAGATCGTAAAATGGGGAAAAGTTCACTTAACAAATGTCTCACTTAACAACAGAAAGGTTGGGCTCAATTGTTGTCATAAATCAAGGAATACCTGTATGTGCCAATTGCCAAACACCAAAATTTTGACTGGATGTCTGTGGGAATGTTGCAATGGTTGTAAGCGTGAGGACCAGTTGTAAATCATTTCTTCAGTGCCATTGTAACTTCAAACAATTGCTAAACGAATGGTTGTAAGTGGAGGACTACCTGTATTAATACTATTCAAAGGCAATCGGGTTTATTCCATTGAGTAATTGGCTCTACATACTACTCTTGCCTTGCTCGGAGAGGTAAACAAACACTTTAAATAATGACTATGATCTGCAACACAAAAGTGTTAACTACTGCTCACTCCTCTGAGTAGTAGGTAGTCCTGATGAATTATAGCTAGTTTTATTGTAATTCCAAAAAGAGCTTCACCAGCTGATTTTACATGGCTATACATAGTTTACATATTCATAATGACAGGAAGCTGAAAAAACATAGGCAAACTCTATTCCTCTCCACTAAGGAGGGTGGGAGGGATATGACAGACCTATGTCTGACTACAGCATGGCAAGGGGATGGAAAAACTCTTGTAAAACTACAGTATAATTGTGCTTCTTGGTGTCCTTAGGTGCCCCACAGACATAAAGCCCAGCCCAGCCCAGCCCAGCCTGCCCTTTTACTCACTGACATACCAACAAACCAGCACTACGAGCTTCACAAACAGCACTGTAACTGCAGACTTTTCCAGGAACAAGACTGAACGCCAAGACTAACCAAGCTCATTCCATAAAGGCATCTTTCAGAAGGGAGTGGAAATTGTTTTGTGATTCATCTAAATAAATGCCCATCTTTAATAAGCCAAGCGTAATAACCACATGCTAACAGCATCCACTAGCTTTAGAAACTTTCTCCTGAGGACATAAAGTACAGTAATTACTTAAGTGTGTACAGAAGCATAAACAGATAATGTGCACATGCAAAACTAAAACTTTTACCTGGAAGATATTTTCAGCTGTCTCTTGCAGTAATAAGAAATTTTTCAACAGAAAACAAGATTTAGCTTAAGCAGTGCTTTGGTATGAAAAGGATATACTATACAATATACTGCTCATTTTAAAACATTATACTGCTCATTTTAAAACATTTTACACTGGAAGATACAAAATTGTATCTCCACAATTCCATTATTCCTCTTGTAGATTAATCCACTTTTAGAACACTTTTTAATGAAAATATAATTTTGAGTATGTGTGTGTATATACTTCCCATGCTATCACAACAATTCCAAGCCAACTATATATCGGTGCAATAAATAACAATTATTCCAAATCCGGTAAGGAGAAATTTTTTTCTAAATGAAAGAAAACTCACTTATTAAATTTTGACTGGTAGACAGGTTTAAAAAAAACAAACACTAATACATTCTACAATTTTTTTAAAGTCAAATTGTCAAATTATCTCTACTAGAACATTACATGAATAGTCAATTGATTCTCTTACAACCTGCAACCTATAAACATTTATATAAACATTAATTTTAAAAGATGTAGCCTGTAATCCCAAAACAGGACCAAAACACTAAAATGGAACAAAAACGTGTATTGCTAGCTCTGCAATAGGGTATGTATGGTTTACCAAAGCATATTCTTAGGATTAGGAATTTAGGCAGATATTTTAAAAACTATAAAACAATGAAAGAGCATAGTTTACTGTACAAATAATTGAATAATCCACTAGTGGATGATCATTTGACTCTAAGTTTATATATCAGAGATTGAAGGATCAATAAGACTCACTTTTCAACATCATTTTCAGTATCACTGGCACAGTATATATATTGTGGGGACAAAATTAAGCAAATAAATAATATTTTCAATCGTTTTACTACCTATATACACATGCAGAGCAATTAAAGACATGGCATAGTCACCTTTTTTTTCTAGACTTCATGCATATCTATAGTTTGAAACTCACCAAGCAAGCAGCAGCGATTTTACTGCAAACATAGAAAGTTAGCTGGCTCTTACTGTATGTTTTATCAAAATCTAGAAGGGTCTGAGACTCTCCCCCTCCCCTTCCGCCCCCTCCCGCATTCTCCATAGACAAGGACTCAGTGTTTCATTTTCTAGGTCTCATAAACAAACCCTCTTATTCCTTCTGGCTTTATGTACAACACTGAACATTTCACAATGTTCACAAACACATTACAAAATATTTTACCAGTAACATTTTTAAAGGATAGTCAAAACTGAAAAGCCTACATTTAGATCACCGACAACATCTGAGAAAAAGTGCTCTTCATTTTGCAAGATACTGATTACTTTAGTTAAAATATTACTCTGAAACCCATGTTATATCTCAGATTCATTTATAGTCTCAGAAAATCCTACTATATCAAAATATTTTTTCTTCCTTGACACTTTTGAGAAATAATTGAAATTTTTACACTAGTTATTTTAGACTACAAATACTCAATTACTTTGGAATAAGCCTGTTGAATTGAATGGGACTTATATCTGATTTCATAGTATATGATTCTTTTATAAATGTATGTCTAACATTTATCTATATTTCACTTTATTATTTTTAACCACATTACTACGTTACATTCCTTTTGCTTAATTCTGTATTTTTTAATGTTTATGCTCATCATGCATGTGTATTTTTGAGTATTCAACTACCGGTATTTAAATATCTGTGGTGTACATGCATATCTTTCTCACAGCGTATGTGTGCTTGACCTCTGTCCACATATGGTTTGATGGTGTCTCTATTAACCAAGCTTTCTCCATTCGCCGACCAAAAAATGCAAACATCAGGCCTCAATATAAAACTGAAAACCACAACGTTTTATGTTACTCAAGTTAAATTTTTTCACGCTGCCTACATAAATGTCCAATTTGCTCAGCCCTCTGTTTTCCCAGAACAGTAGAAAGTCTTTTTGAAAACATGAATATATTAATCAAATACTACTGATAAAGAATCAGACTAAATTACTTAAGGTTGAAAGTTTACAACTTTTTCTTAACTTATTAATATACATATTTTAATAGCTACAAAATGTATTTCGATGCTTTAATTTTATTCCTGTGACTATTCATTTAGGATTACACAAGTAGAGCCTCGGCATCATTTAAAGGGAAGTTAATCTTGTGTATTTTGGCGCCTTTTCTTTGCCAGCTACTGTACTGGGAGCGAAAGGGACTTGGAGATGTTGTTTGTTCCTTCTCAAGTTCAGTGGCAGCCCTTTCCAGCAGCAGCAGCAAGAAAGATAGCCATGTTCACAGCCCTAATAATAATTCAGATCACGCCACATCGGCATCTTGTGTCAAAGTCGAACGGGCTTCCCCGCCCCCTTCAACCGGAGAGCAGCCAAGTCCTCACACACTCCACATTTAACCACAATGGATGGGATATTGTGCATTAAAATATGGCCCAGACACAGGCAAAGGGAGGACAAGTGGGGAGAGCAGACATCTACCCAGGGAATAGGTCTGAAAACATGCAAGACAGTGAGACCTACACAGCCACTTGATAGAGGAAAACATAAGCAAGCCACAAAAAGCGTACCCAAGGAGAGAACACAATTCAGAAGGAGAAAAGAAATGTCCGTAGTGTAGGATAGCAAACTTATAAGTTAACTAGCACGCAAAAAGTAATAGCCCTGTTACTACAGCAACACTGCCCTCCCATACAGCTTAGCAGAAGAAACCAGAGTGTATCTATGACAGCTGTTAAGAAGGGAAAGCAACCCTAACTACATAGCTGCAAATTAATCAACCAACATGTTATATTAATCTTTTTCAATGCTTAACAGGCACTTGCCAGCAAACGGGAGGAGAGAAAGTTGGAAGCAGGAAATATACCAAGTTCAGCACTTTTGGACACAAGCTCCAATTAACTGTTTCCTGGCATGAGTGTGTGACCCGTAGACAAAAGCTGCCAAAAGAAGGACAAGAACGCAAACAAATCCATTTCTTCAATCCTGCAAAATCAAAAAATGACCGGGGGGGGGGGGGGGTAGTGTTGTAAACAGCCTCCACTTTGTAAATCCAAGACGATCTACCCAGGGAAAGAAGACAGCCAAAAAGCAAGTTAAAAATACATCTTTTTTTCAATGCCACATACCATTGAATTGTATTGTATTTAAACCCGTAGACTCCTGAATTCTGTAACACAACACGGGAGCCGTTGGCTTCACGTTTTTCAGAGAACCAGTGTATGCCTTTCTCAAGGAGCCGGTGTGGGGTTTTGTTTTGTGTTTTTTTTTTAGCTTTGTTTGGATTTCCAAGGGTAACCTTCCCTTTTATACATAGGTTTGTGTGCACCCGAAAGAGTTACTGATTCAGATTGTTCAGAAAGTCTTGGCTAGAGGAGTTGAGAGAAATCAGCGAAGGTAAAAAAAAAAACTGTCTACAGAGCCTCCCCCCACCACCCCGCCTCTTTGCGCTCCCTCTTTTTCAATCTTCCTTCCTCTTTGAGTTGCAATACTGAAGAGTGGGTTGTGGTTGCTGTCTTGGACGTGGTCCAAGAGGGGCTGAACCCTTTCCCCATTCTCCCTCCCTTTGCCTGGCTGGGGCGCGCGCACTCGCTGCTCTCTCTCTTCCCCCCACACACACACACACATACACCGCCCACCACCACCACCACACACACCGCCCCCCCCACCGCGCGTCTGGCTCCGCAGAAAGAGCTGGCGGTGTTAAGGCTGAGTTGCGTTCTTGGCCTCTTTCCACCTCGTCGCCATTGGCCAGAACCTCAGCAGCGGCTTCCCTTAACCACCAACCACTTTGCTTTGCCCCTCCCCCGTTCCCCTTCCCCTCCTCTTCGCGGCACCCGTGGGAAGCGCGGCTCTTCGTTTCCGCCTGGCGGCTGCTTGAAACACCGAAAGAGAAGAAAGGGAGGCTGGGGGAGGGGGGAGCTATTTGCATATTCATTTTCAAGTAGCCAATGAGCGGGAGTAGAACCAGAGGGCACCCGCTATAAAGCGTGTAATTCCAGACAGGTCAAAGACCCTGAAATCAGCGCATGTCAAAGTAGTTTGTGGAGTTTCTTACACAAAAGTGTGTGTGCGTGAGTATGAGAGAGATGCTGAGATTTCGGCGGCTAAAGGGGGAAAAAAGGGAATCCAAATACTGCTTTGGGAAGGGAAATGTTTTTAATGGGATTAACGGAAATCTAATTTACAGACGTTCTATACATGACTTCAGAAGTCCCAATGATTTTACTGTTAGTCACTCTTAGATAAACACTTTTAGGAATACAGCAGTGATTTGATCATAGAAAATGTTCTTTGGTTAATGGCAGAATCATAAGCGTAATTGCAGGAATGTTGTTTCTGAAAAGCACTCAAACTAATATTTTGATAAATGTAAAATGTGCAGCATATCTAAAAATTGTGCATAGATCCCAAAGTTAATATTCATGGAAGTAGCATTCATGAGATTCTGAGTTATCAGCTCTTCCAGTTAAGTTAATGAAAATGTCAGATGTGCAAGGAATACAGAATCAGTTTCCTTCTATAAATGCGCTGATTTCAATGAGCTGCTGACTAGACCTTTTGAAAAAGACTACTTCATTTGTGTAGTTAAATTTGGAAACAGAGGCAAGCTTCTGAAAGGATCCAGTTTGAACAAGCAGTTGTATTGTATACTTCCTCCTTACCCTTCTAGTAGTCAAGATACCATTTAATAGGTGTAAAAGTTTATCTTAGTGTCCAACATTATTAATGGAGTTAAATAAATATATTTGGGAAGAAAATCATCTTGACACAGAGGAAGATAAGAGAAAAAAATTACGAAGATACAAATATCAATTTAATGTTTACAATCATCTCCAGTATACACGACAGATTTTAAAAACCATTCAATCATTTCCATTCTTGTTGCATGTTTTTACTTTAAATTTGGAACTACAATACTAACGCATATTGCATTAATATGCAGAGTTTTAAGTAGCTTTTTCAGAACACCCAAATTACAGTGTGTAGAACTATCTAAACTATATAGAATAATTCAGTTCTGTTTACCTCAGAAAATTTGGCTTTTAAGATCAAAATCTTGTTAAAATGTATGTTGCACAAAGATGTTCCATACGTACAGGATGAAATATTGCAGTAATTTTTATCTTTATTAATTAAAATTAAATTTATAAACCTATATTCATATTTAAACAAACAATAAACTTATTAAAGTTTAAAGGAACGGAAAGGCTGCTTAAATACTGGGAACAAAGCTTGGGTTTAATTTTGTTACTTCTATTCCATAATTTTAGAACATGTGCATTAAAGAAAAGAACTGAACAATGTTCACTTGATTTAGTAAGTATGATTATGCTTATACATTTTTTCATGGAAATTCAGTCAGGTAATTTATCTGGTTATTAAGCTTCTGTCCATGACAGAAGAATCTATAGTTGTTTTGGGTTACTAGGAGAGAGAGAGAGAGAGAGGGAGGGAGAGGGAGGGAGGGAGGGAGGGAGAGAGAGAGAGAGAGATACATACATACACATAGATACATACACAGATACATACATAGATACAGAACTATATTAAAATGACTGCAGATCTGATAATAAATGATTCTAAATTTTTAGTTGAAAATCTGAAACCTCATAAGTAATAAGAACCAAGAACGTTCTAAACTAAAAAAAAAAACAGCAGTGAACGCAATAGTGAGAGTTGATGAGCAACATGAACAAAACGCTAATTTGTATGAACTTAAAGGAAACCATTGCATCCTTTTAAACAATAATTTTTCTATACATAAACCCATAATAACTACATAAGCTGATAAACCTGATTTAATTATGATGTGTATCATTTTACAAAGCTTTTTTTTAAAGAAATATAATCTCAATCTAATGACATACTTCGACTGGCATCCTTGGTAAATAAAGTCATAACATCTTTGTGCAAGAAGCCTAGACATTCTGTAGCTCAATGAAGATGGAGAGTGAAACATAATTTTAGAATAAATAATATGGTCAACACGTTTTATTGGTATTCATTTTGCTTCTTTAAAATTAGCTTCAGTGTGCACTATAATACATCATTTTCTTAACACATGTAAATTAATGGGTAGTTGTGGTATTATATGAAACCTTGTCTTCAAAAAGTTTATTACCTTTTTGGGCCTAAATTAAATTTGTTATTTTGTAATCTTTATAAATTTCACTAACATATAAATTCCATTGAAATTGCAATTCACTTAAATGTAGTTAACTATCACCTCAGTACTGTACTTTAAAAAGCAATGATCTACAAAAATTGTTGGATTCCATTCTGTGTCATAGAACTGATATATAGCCACCGTCCAGCAACCATTGAGAGGAAGTACAAAGTGGGTTAATTGGCATTCACTTTAAGAAAAGTATATAAAAGAAATTTAATTTGTTAACACATGGTATCCACAATCTATATTGTTCAACATTGCAAACATATATTGAACTAAATAACTAAGATTGCTTTCTTACCAATAGGGTAATTGAACAATCCTTGTTGTTTCAACTATCCAGTTTTAACAGTGATATTAATATACACTGCTCAAAACAATAAAGGGAACACAAGCAGAAGACATCCGAGATCTGAATGAATGAAATAGCCTTATTAAATATTTTGCTCGTTACATACAGTAGTTTTGTGTTCCCTTTAGTTGTTTGAGCAGTGTATAAACTACTGTATGTAAAGAACAAAGAAAATATTTCCATTGAGTTCTCTATAACATTTCATACGCTACTCACTATGCACATTCTTCTTAAAGTTATCTACATCTTTACATTATATGTGGTTTAATTATGTTCTAGATTGAAAAATTCTTTCATCTGGCATAAGATACGTCACCTAAAGATCACATTTACGAGAAGAATAAACAGGTCAAAATAAGTTGTTTTGATTTCCTACAATTGGGCTAATCTCTTAGCAATCCTCGTTTTCCATAAACTGCCATGAACACAACTTTTTATACACACACACACACACATATATACACACACATACAGTATATATATATATATACATACACACACACACACACACACACACACACATATATATATCCCCAATGGAAATATAAATAAGCACTGCATTGAAATATGTGCAATGCAAACACCAATTTATATTCATTTTCTTAATGAATAGCCTAGTTCAAAATTATATATTTATAGTCAGCCAAGTAATCAAAGTACTGTTTTAAGCTTAATGAAGTATTACTTACTGCAATAAGATTCTCATTAATGATGGAGATCATTAACTCCAGGTAGGCCACCCATTCAGGAAAAGGTGAATGCCAGGAAAGAACAACTTGTAGACCTACATATGCTATGGTGAAGAAACAAGAATCAGTTTCTTGATCTAGACTAGAGGACATCTTGGGATGCCAGCGCCTTAATTTTAGTTTTCCAGTATCCCACCAAATTGTGGAAGCAAAACACAGCTTCCAAATTGGTATTTCTCTCTTCTTGTTGTTCTTATCAAATATCTCCAGCTTTTGGAAAAAGATAATGTTTTCCTGGTCTGCACTCCAAGGAAGGTCATTGCTAGAGTTTTCAGATGAAAAGGCTTTCATGATTTTCTAGAATCATGGTTAGAAGTTGGGTACGATACTGTAGACCAATGTTAAATGTTTTCTGGATTTTTTATTTTTTTTATTTTTTATTTTTTTGCAGCCTGACAACAGTTGCCTTCAATTTTCAAAATATGCCAGTGTCTCAGAGATCTCAGCACAAAGCACTTTAACAGCAAATATGACAAATGATTGAATACTGTTTCTATATGCATATTTCAGGTCTTTGTGTTTTCTTAATAACTGCTTACTCTGAACACCCTCACTTTTTCTTTTCCCTCATGAGACAGGCTGTAGTTTCTGCACAACTGTGGTAGGCTCCAATATCCATCAATTAGAGTTGGATATGTATGCTTGGAATTTAAGGAACTCTGAGTGCAAGGATACCAAAACTGAAAATTGTCTATAATGTTCCATAGGAAAAAAAGTATCCTTATTAATCACAAATGTGTTGAATAAATAATTTCAGTTTAGCATTATATTGAGGAGACAATAGATGCATAGATCTATTTGGATAGTTAGAAATCTATGGCAATTACTTGCAAATTTCTCAAAATATGACAATAAAACACTACCTTGCTCACTTTTGCTGTTTTGTTCTTCTTATCCTCTCTGTCTGAAGAGATGTTATAAGCATAACTTTGTCACAAACCAACACATCCTGTTCAATGGTGAAATCCTCCGTGGATTGCCACTGGTTTGCTGTCACGCATGACCGGTGTGCGCCAAATGTGCTGCGCACACACATGTGCAGTGCACACCAAAAGCATATGGCATGTGCAGTGTGTGCCAAAAGCACACTGCACATGCATGTGCAGTGCACGCCAAAAGCACACTGAGCATGCATGTGCAGTGCGTGCCAAACGCATGCTTCACATGGAAAAAGAATGATTAACAAGGTAAGTAGAATAGCGAGGGAGGGAACAGCTGTGCCGCGCAATTTAGATTCACTAGAAAGTGGGATTTCCTGCTTTCTAGCAAATATAAATCGCGCGGCACACCTGATTGTTGGAAATACCTGTTCGGATGAACCAATAGCTTTTTTTTACTACCGGTTCGCCCGAAGCGGTAGCTTTTATCACTACTGGTTCACCCAAACCGGTGCAAACTAGTAGCATTTTACCCCTGATCCTGTTGCTCCAAAATCTTCAAAATGGTGTGGCTTGTTGCCAAATATGCCTTGCTAAGAAAGATCGACTTCATATAGGCAACCTACTCTTACTTAATCCAGAGTAGGTTCCATTATAGATTACCATTACAAAGAAGGAGAAAAGGAATTGCTTCCCTGCAATTATTTTGAAGTTTATCATGTATTTGTGTCTTCTGCTCATTGTACTTTCCAAATAATGCTATAAAAGGGAGCAAGGAAAGTTAACATAAGACCGGCACCTTTCTTGCTTGTATGAAATCTTCCTGCAAAATTTAAATGTACACATTTTCTGGTCTAAGGCTGTAATAAATAGTTGTTGTTAAAATGTTCACATTTCATTTTATGAAACTCTGAAATGTAACCCTTCAATTCTTAAAATATTTTCCAAAAATAGGTAACGCCTCCAAGTTCTCACTCTGATATACTAATGAAATACAAACAAGAGTTGAGACTGCTAGGTTTTTGTTTCTGGTATTTTTAGTTTAGTTTTGTTATTTGATTACTCTCCCAGAACTTGGCTTTCAATTGCCACTTATGTTTCATCAGAACTGTGGCAGAACAGAGGCCTGTACAGGGAAAAGTGAAAGAGAAGGAAGAGGCATATCAGCTAAGGAGAGGTTAAACCATCAATTCTCTAAGTCAGTGATGGCTAACCTTTTCCAGACTGAGTGCCCAAAGCCCGAACACCCAAAATGCAATGCTCGTGTGGCCCACCCACATGAGCCCCATGCATGCATGCACCCCTCCCACACGTTCCCCGTCCATGCGCCTGCACACCCCATGCATGTGTGCATGGGCCCCCACATGCACCCCACACCCTGTGCATGCATGCCTCCCCTGCATGTGTGGCAGCGACCCGAAGACCAGCTGGCTGGTGGGAGGTGCATGCATGGCAGAGCTGAACTGGGGCGACAGCTCGCATGCCCACAGAGAGGGCACTGCATGCCACCTCTGGCACACATGCCATAGGTTCGCCATCACGGCTCTAAGTGATGCCATTGTACTATTGCAGTGATGGGGGATGGGCAGGCCATCCTGATTTGGCTGCAATATCCCCCCTTTAATACCAGCCTTTCCTATTGTCTGGCCAAAGCAATTCTAACCCATTGATGAGGCTAAACAATGGAAAAGCAGAAATCTTCTGTCCCGTGAATGTGTGACCCAAGCAGAGAACTCAATCCTAGAATAACATCCAACAAACTTGCAACAATGGTTAGAATGAGGATTTTACTCTTATCTTGGGAGTGGTCCAGAGTCCCAAAAAGAGAGATTTTGATGGGGGTGGTCAAGTTCAATAAGAAGGGATTTAGAAGACTGTATGGGGAAGAGTGCCAAGCCTACAGAAAATAAGATACTTTAGACTTTAGGAAAAGTTTCCCATCAGGAGCTTCTGCTTCCATGTAAGATTTCAAAGGAACACAGCAACAGGATCAATTGAAATAAGAGAGGAGCAAGTAGCACCTTTTGCTCTTCTCCCATGTCTAGATTCCAGATCCTAGTCTGAGGATCCTTTCCATTTGCCAAGGCCACAGCTTCCAACTTCTATCTACTGCCTGGGCTGGAAAATACTTTCCAGAAGACAGGTCCAACTCAGCACTGCCCTTGATCTTTCAGCTGTTCAGTGTTATTTCATTTGCTAATAAGGGAACAAGATTGAGCTGGGCAAAGAAGACCCAACTTCTTTGCCCAGCAATTGCAAAGCCAACAAATCTCATCCTTGCCAATTCATTTCCAACCTCAACAAATGAACTAAAATTTCTTTCTTAAAATTTCATAACATGACATACCCTCCCATACGTTGAGCCCACATAGTGATTGATGGCCCTTACTCTGTGTAAATATACACAGACTCTAGTCTCAGCCTCCATTGAAGGCCCATTAAAATTAAGGGACCCTGCAACTAGGTCAGACTTCCAGACAGCAATGGAAGAGGAGGAAGGTTGAACCCAGGCTCAAGGTTGACTCAGCCTTCTATCCTTCCGAGGTGGGTAAAATGAGGACTCAGATTGTTGGGGGCAATAGGCTGACTCTGTAAACCACTTAAAGAGGGCTGTAAAAGCACTGCGAAGCGGTGTATATAAGACAAAGCGCTATTGCTTCTCTGCAGCTCTTTTTTTTAAATTGAGATCCAGAATTATTCCGGGGGCTGCGAGGAAGCAGCTTGAACTAGGCCTCGGTTTCCCAAGCAGCCCCGGCAGAGCGGGGTTCCCCTCACCCTCAAAACGAAATACCCCGGATGTTCTGAGTTAGCCGCTGCCAGCAGCAGCCCCCCACACACACACACACAATACTTTCCAAGCCCCCGGCCCGGAAAGCATTTGGCACAGATCATCCACCAGGCGAGAGAGAGACGTTGCTCAGGAGCCGCCATTCCTGACCCTCTTTTCGCTTCCCCCAAGTTCAGAAAGAGCAGCGCTGCCGCCTGCTCCTGCTTTTGCCTGCCTGGGCAGAGGAAAAGGGGCCGCTCACTCGCCGCCCGTCCGCTCGCAGCCTCTCCAGAGTTTCAAGGGAGTCCTGGGCGGAGGGAGAGGTCGCGAAGCCCACCAGGGAAAGGGTGAGTGTCTGGAGGCGACCCGGGACGTCCCCTACTAAAGTTGGGAGCGAAGTGCGAGGGAAGCCGCCGGCCCAGGCAGGACACTTGGGCGGCGGGGTCAGCTCTGAGTGTAGCTGGGGGGCGGGGGCGGGGGCGGAGGGAGGGCCTGGGTCTGAGAGAGGAGCGCCGAGGAAAGCAAGGGGAGCGGGGAGCGGGAACTCAGGGCCACCCAAAGCAACTTTCTCGACTTTGAATCGCGAGAGCGAGAGATGGATCCGCTGGGCTCGGCTCATTTGTGGGTGGGGTGGAAGATGCCCCTCCGAAGGAACAATAACGGAGCCATTCAAAACCTCTCCCCGCTGCCAAGGAAACGGGGGTGGGGGCTTCTGCTTTGGATTGACTTAACTGAGAGACTGCCCACCCCCGCTCACGTCCCAAATTCCCGCGTGACTAAGGGAAACGGGAGGGGCGCTTCAACTGGCATCGGATTCTGTATTTAACAGTAAACAAGAGTTGGAAGGGACCTTGGAGGTCATCTAGTCCAACCCCACCCCCGCTCACGCAGGAGACCTGTACTAGGGATTCGAACCGCCGAACTGCCGACCTTTCTGATCGATAAGTTCGGTGTCTTCGTGCTGGAATTCTGGCCCGCTGACTTCCCGGATCTTGCAGCCGGTTTTCCTTTCCTCCTGCATCTGGCCTTTGCCTGCACAGAGATCTCACCTGCTTACCCCCCACTCACCCACCCCACCCCGTTGCCTGGAAGGACATTTGCCCAAGGAAATAGATTTGGGATCTCCCTATTAAAACTCTGTTGAGCTCTGTTGGTTTCCACGACCTCCTGTCACTAGAATGTCCGGAGCGGAGCGTCGTCTGAACGCCCGAGCTACACATTCTAGGCCTCTCCGAGAAAACAACCCATACCCGACTTTGGTTCGCTGGAAGAAGTGGGGGGGGGACTTTGAGCTGAGGGACAGCTGCTTTCTGCTGGGGAGGGCTGCGGGGCGGAGAACCCGAAAGGAAGCAGGTTCGTTTGGAGGTCAGCGCGAGGGGCTCAGCGAGCGTTACTTCCGAGGATGAACATTCCTGGGCCTACCCAGAGATAAAGCAGGCACCTTCTCCAATCCCAAGGACCTGGGAGACCTAGCTAGAAAGGTTTAAGAGCCAGTAGTAAAACTCCCTTTCTACCAAGCAAAAGGTGCAGGGGATAACACACAGACACACACACACGCTTGTGTATGTGTGTATTTCCGCACCTTTTCCTTCCTAGAAAGGGAGGCTTAGAACTGACAGTTAAAACGTGTGTGTGTTTGAGAGAGAGAGAGAGAGAGAGAGACAGATAAAGACAGGGCAGGCAGAAAAGGAAGAAAGAAAGAAAGAAAGAAAGAAAGAAAGAAAGAAAGAAAGAAAGAAAGAAAGAAAGAAAGAAAGAAAGAAAGGAGAGAGAAAGAAAGAAAGAAAAAGAAAGAAGAAAGAGAGAGAGAAAGAAAGAGTTTCCGCACCTTGGTTAAAAAGGGTTAGTGCTTAGCGTAGTAGCTTTGGTCATAGTTTGATGTAGAGTACATAACGGGTTTGGCCCGCTGTTCTTCCTTTCCTCGCATTTGGTATCACCTGTGGCCAGGTGAGCTTAGGCGAGACAGGTCCCACCTTAACGCCCTAACAGCTGCTCCTAGGCTCTCGGGGATGGCAGGAGGCAGCTCTACCAGCCCGCCCGCCCGCCCGCCTCTTTCTTCCCCCACTTCCCTGCCTCCCAACAACTTCCCAGCCCAATCCACTCGCCGGGGCCAGGGAGAGATGCTTTCTGCGACTCGCCTTCGGAGTGCCTTCGCTCGGGCTGGCGCGGGAGGAAAGCGGCGCTTCTTTCCCTGCCTGACAGCCCTGCTTGGAAACGGCGGTCTCG